TTTTCGCATGATTTACAAAAATAAGCTGCAATCGATTCGTTTAAAAAAAATTTCTTCACTGGGAGGCCCCAATAATCACAGAACAATCAACATAACTGGTCACCAGGAGGTGTTTCCAGGTCCCTGATTAATTATCCTGACTCAGTGGTCCTTCTTCAGCTTGGCCAGCAGCATGAGGAGCTGGTCCCTGCGCTCTTTTCTGGCTAACAGATGCTGCTGGTCACCGGGAATCAGCTCGCACATCTCCTGGGGGGGACAGGGGGGGGGGGGCGAAAGAACGTTTATCGTTTCAACTTTAATCATTAACCCTTTCATGTATAGTCTGATAGATTCAAAAGTGTTTTGGGTTTTCTTAAGGCATAAAAGACGTGTTTTTTTTTTGGTAAAAAATGTGCTTATTCAAATATTTTTGCAGATGTCCACTCAAGTGAACAATACATTAAGTTAAGTTAAAATTAGTTACTAATTAATAAATTTGTTACCAGAATACATAAACATAATACTTTGCAAGTCTCCTCCTATTCTTTTCTAACTTTTCTAACTTCCGCTTGTTCAACCCCTTGTTATTTTTTAGTCTATCTCAGCCCCTCTTCAGAAGTGTATTATTGTGGATGTTTTTTTGTTATTTTTATTACATGATGCGCCAGTGTCGTATGCCCATTTAAAACATACATTTTTAATGGCCGTCCATTGTGGTGACCGCTGTGTATGAAAGGGTTAAGACAGGGAAGCTAATTGTCGTGTTCATGCATGTTTATTAAGAGCACAGGCCTTTATTCTCATTAAAAAACAACTAATTGCACCTTTAGCGGTCCAAGATCCTGCAAATGTACCTTTATAGTGTGTCCATTTCCTAATCGGGGTCATTAGTGTACCTTTCAGGGCCTCTAAGTTCAAATATAAAGCCTGGGCTCCAGTTCTTATCCATAGATGGTATTTAAATCCAGAAAGTCCCTCAGGAGACATGTATGTAGTCACACTTTGGCCCTATTTTAAACAGCGTAAGCAACGAGTCTACCGGAAAAAGCGTTAAATATTAAACTACAACTATCACGCTTAAAGCGTAAAGACGTGTCTGGTGTTGTTTCTCCTCATCAGGGACCGGGTTCAGATCTATCCCCGCTTCTTCACACCTGGTTTAGATCTCTCCCAAACACAGCCAAGCTCTTCACGCTTCTCCCCCTTTTAACCCTTTAAACCCTTTAAACCCTGAAGAATATTGTATTTTTTTAGTCTGAAGTCTTTCTTTGGCCCCTCAACAACATATGAAGAAAAAAAACTGAAATGATTTTGATCAAATTAGCGTGCAGTAAGTCAAAAATATACTTTGGTGTAGTCTTCTACTGGCTGTTATCAGGTATATCTGAATGTGTACAACAGGGGTTTGAGCAAAGCTTTTACCACTGAATGATGCAAAAAGTCTCAGATCCAAAAGACTTGAGAAACCGTATGATACATTTGGCATTATAGGGTTAAGGTGCTGTGATTTTTTAAAAGGGATCTTTTCAGGGAGAACCGAGGGACTGAGACTGGGGCGGAAAACAGGCTGTGAAGGCATGTGACCGGCGGGGAAGTGAGGAGAAACGCTCCAACCGACCAGAACCAACGACCTCGTTTATAGCTAAACGCGTCACATGGTTCTGAGCCGGACAAACAAACAAACCCCGTTACGGGTTACCTCCACCACGCCCTTGGCTCCGGCTCCACAGAAGTCGGGCACCGGCCCGAAGGAGCCCAGGACCCTCCTGATTCCCTCCCCGTACCGGGCCATGTAGTCCTCAAGCCCTGTAGGGGGCGGGAGATCTATGGGTGAGCAGAAACCTCCCAAAAGCATTTTAATGACAGAGATAACAAGCTGTTAAATCCACAATTCTGCAAGGAAAAGTGTCTTTCAAGGTGTTTCTCCTAAAAGATTCTCAGTGAGCCGCTATCATTTCTTTTTTCCCCCCCCGCTATCATTTCACCATGTGAACCATTTTCTTTATCCTGATGAAGAAAATGCTGTTTAATAAGATTCCCCTTTTTTATTTTATCCAAACCTTTTTAACATGACTTTTTCAGTCCATGAGACTCTCTGAAATTCCTCTAATGCAAATCCAGAGTTAAAGACATGAGAAAAATACAACATTACGTTAATGGCAGAGGGTTTCTTTTGAGGGCAGCTTGCTTATTTTACAAGGAAAGTCTCAACATTGTGCAGTTTACCGTCGGAAATGATCCCGTTGGCCTCCGATGTGTCTTCACTGTGTTGACACTACAAGCTTAAAATGTTTTTATCAATTAAACTTTATGATTCGAGGGTCATAAAAAGCAGCCCTCTGTCACTCTGAGTGTTCAGTGTTAAATGCCTCATAAATAACTCCCCGGTCCCCCGTTGGAGGCTTTTTTAACTTTCATGGAGGTTAATCGCAGCCATTCATCAACCATTAAACTTTAATGACTGATTTGGGATGTAAACAGCGGCAACTTTGGCTAACCAGTGACTGAAATGAACCGTTAAATATTGATGAATTAGATTTAAAATGTAGGGCTTCGCTTTGCCCTGACTGTTTCATTGCTTTTACTCTGCTGAATTGCAATTAATGGCACCAAAAATACATTTAGTATTAAATTCAAGTGTTCTTTGTTCAAATATGTGTCCAACAAATAAAAGATTAGACCATGTTTTAAATGCAAAAGCAGATTTTCTGGTTTACGGCCTGGAATATGAATGAAAAAAGCCTTGAGATAGCTCAGATAAGGAGCTGTTCTGAGTTTATTTTCGCATCTATCGGAGCTGCAGGATGAACAAAATAGCTCATAAAGGGGGCCAGAGGCATGGTCTGTTGACATTCCTGTGATAAGGAACGGAGCAGGTGAGGGCCGAATGTTTAAAACCTTACAAAACCAAAGCGACAAACAAAAAAGAATGTGCCCAAACTGCTTCTCAAAGCCCTTTACGAGGGCAGAGGGGCTCCATTTTAAACCACTCCTCGTTCAAAATTGAGTTTTCTGGCCAATTAAAAGTCAGAACTCTCTATGAACACGTTCCCAACGAAAAGCAGATAGACTCAGAAGTCTTTTGGTCAAAATGTGAGAGGAAAACTGCCCTCTAAATCTCACCGTTTGCCCCAAAGTGGGACTCGGTCCACATGACAGCTGTGTGATATCTACCCAGTAAACATCTCATCTGGACGGGAGGTGTGTTATTAACATGTTTTGCTTTTGTCGTCTCTTTTTCTTACAGGTTTTACGGCATTCTGGAAATGTTTAGCTCCCCAAAGACATCCTCCCTCTTGTTTTTATCTACGATTTCTGCCAGTTAAGAACGAGAGAAAAACCTGAAAATGTTAATTACGTGGTCTCGTCGGCTTTATGTCGTAGAGCAATGTTTTTCAACCACTAGTATGCCGCGAGTTATCGTCAGGTGTGCCGTAGAAAATCATCCTATTTCACCTCATTGGTTTAAAATTATTTTTTTAATAAGGAATTAATTTTCTGCAAATAATATGCCGTTTTTGAGTGTCTGTGCTGTTCTAGTGACTGGTGGCGTAATCATGTAATAATTCCTTATGACTAGATTTTATATATATTTTGTATATTGAAGTCGACATGTTGAGAGCAATTTGAAAGAAGAAATAGAAAATATGATAAAAATACATTTCTGTCTTTAATTGATTCCTATTCAAGACACTTAAGATAAGATGAGAATAAGATAAGAATAACTATAGTGTTATTATAGGCGGCTACAGATTTGTTTAAAATTTTTGGTTGGTGGTGTGCCTCGAGATTTTTTCTATGAAAAAATGTACCTTGGCTCAAAAAAGGTTGAAAAACACTGTCGTAGAGGACTAAACGAAGGTCCAGTTTGAGGTTCTCAGGCTCTGGACGAGTCCTTTGTTAAGGACAGCTGTGCCAGCGGTTACAATGTTGTCTAACTTTCACTCCGTTTGCAAGAAAGTGTCAGAGAGAATCTGCACCGCGGCGTTTTCTCCGTCCTTGGAATCGCTTTAGCTTTTGCCTCGCGCTTCGACTTTTTGCACGGTCACACGACCGCCGGAGAGCCTTTTTGAAGAGCTTCCTCCAAAGCCTCTTTCTAAAAAAAAAAAAGGACAATGTGTTTTCTGGGCTGGTACCAAAAGCATTCAGGTGGAGCAGAGGGGAGACACAGGGAGCCGGAGAGCTCCGCTATCTGATCGGAACAGACTTTTTTGGACTCAAAAGTTGGAACAAGAGTCGGTTTTTAGCAATCTTTAGAGAGCAGGATCGTACTACATCTTCCTGAAAAGACAAAAAAAAAGAAAAAAGAAAAAGAAAGGAGATCCAGTACTGTAACTACAGGTAGAGTTGGCACCTGGTTTGAAGGCCGCGATGAAGGCTGTGCCAGTTTTGGATTACTGGTGTGAGGGAGTGCATTCAGCCTCCCATCAAAAGACGGCTTTGTTCAGACGGGGTGTACTCTGTGTGTGTGTGTGTGTGTGTGTGTGTGTGTGTGTGTGTGTGTGTGT